TGAAAAAATGGGCTCCAGATATTCACTGGGGCTTTCAAATGAATCCATTTTCATCGTTCTAACTGAAATAGTTACTGAGATACAGCTTGCCCAAAATTTTTCGTGTTTATCAGCTGTTTTGACAAACTTAGAGTGGTCCAATTTCAAAAATTTTTGTATAGAAATCCGTTTCAGACCAAACTCTAATATAAAAAGTAAAAAAAAAAAAATTGAAAATTCGGCCCCCGGGGCCCCGGAGCGCAGCGCAAGCGTGCCGCAAGCGCCTGTACGGGTGCTCGTGTACGTGCACGTACGCACATGTACGCATACGCGCGCGCCAGATCTCGCTATACGTAAACAAGGGTTACTGAATTACTAAATTATATTCTAATCCCATGCACAGATCATGATTATCAAGTCACATAAACAATCATCTAGTCCTTTTCTCAATTATTAATCAAGGGTGGGGGGTAAGGCCAGCCAGCTTGCGACACAGGTAAGTAATAATAACGTTGAACGGAATAAGATATATAACAAAAGAGGGGGGAAGCTAGTCAATCAGAACCAGAGGGGTGAAGTTAGGGGGACGATTTAAATATACCGATTATAAGGGGGCGTGTTGAAATAATCAGAACAGAAATCTCTCTTGACACAACTACACGAATAATTATGAAATCCTGCGACTCACCGTTGGGGGGGGGGGGCGATAATATTACAGGACACCCCCTGTGCGTTGGTACTTGTTGGGGCGGGAACGGTACTGAAGGGTACTCACGGGGATGGCGGCTATTCTGATCCTTCCAAGAAAGTCCTTAGGACACGGGAGACTCCTCCAAACCAAATGTAACCAACACAATGCCGTTCCTCCCTGCTCGTCACTCCTGGGTCTATCGCAATCTTCCACGGGCAACTCTTCCATAAATTCCTCCACAGCGATTCCCGCACTACTCTTCCAACTATTCTTCCCGAAATCCTCGCCTACTATTTTCCACAAAACTCTCCCAACAAAACTCCACAAAGAAAACTCCAACAAACAATATTCCACCAACTCCTCAACAATATTCTCTAAATAACTTTCTATTCTCCGGGGCAGCTGGATCACAAGTGATGGCGTCGCATCACTCGCGCTCGTTCTTCCCCGATTATCGGTGATAGTCGGGGTCAATCGGGGACACTCGTCATCGAGTGTCCTTGTTATTACTTCTAATTTCCCTATTGTTAGGGACTGTCCTGTTTCTTTCCGATGTCACGTGGGCTGTGACGTAGTCAGGATGGGGGGGTTTTCTTTTCTTCCTGGTTACGTGGGCCGTGACGTAGGGATGGTGGGTTATAGTTGTTCTCTCCGACGCGCATGGCGATGAGCCGACCAGAAAGGGGGGGGGGCTTTCTCTTTCTCTCCAGCGGTGCTGTCTCATTCGGCTGTCAGTGTAGGGCGGTGGAAACGCGGGGCAAGGGGCAGGAATATCTCGGGAGTGGGCGCCAACTGTGGCAGGTTTGTCGATTTATTTTAACCCAAGTCTTAACCTACTTAACTCTACAAACAAGTTATTATTAGGAGCAGGGGAGGGGTTAAAAAAGTGCCTCGTCACAAAATAAATAAAAATAATAATCGTAATGACAGTATTATTACCAAAGAGCTAGAAATCATAAATTGTAGGATTAATATACGAATTACCGTCAGTCTAATACCGACCGACGGATTACCATCAGCCTAATACCGACTGACGGATTACCAACGGTCTAGTATTGACCGGCATACGAAGAGGCAGTCGTATCGGCGGGCAACTCCACTAACGGATCGCCAACCGATACGACGGCCTCTCAAAGCCTCCACCCAATCCAAGCGGGGTGCGGTGAAGAGGGAAACCCTCCACCACACAGATAATAAATAATATGAAATAGATATATATATATATATGAAAGAAAAAGAAATAAAAGTAATAAAATAGATAGATAAATTGATAAATATATGTATATTGTGACATTGGCCGGGGAATTAAATATATTAATTCCCGGTGAAGACACGATGTTTGGGATAAATGGGCAATGTACGAATTAAATACTCTTATTTACGAATTTACTGAAGGAGGGACCTGAAATGGTAAGGGGGGGGGGGAGGAGGTGAATAATTACTCGGGTGGGATAAGCTAGAGAAATATCGTATATTCCAATCAATGGTTGGACGTTTAAATGTAACAATTCTCAAAATATAATTTCTCACTTTCAGGCCTTTTCTTAAAAATTAATCAAGGGTGGGGGGTAAGGCCAGCCAGCTTGCGGCACATCGATAAATGATCATAAGAATAATCCACAAAGCGAAAAGAAAGAGAAAAAGGGGAGAAGCTAAATAATTGAAAAAGATGGGAGAAGTTAAGGGGAAGTGATTGAAAAATCACCGAAAATTAGGGGGGTTATTGGTGACCACAAAATATGAACAATTGTTAACTTGAGAGGCTCACCGTTGGGAGGGGGGGATGTGATTACTGGGGTTTAATTGATCATTGTTGAAACGGGAAAGACAAGAGAGGGTACTCACGCTGATGGCGTCGATCCTAGTGCTTTTTCCACAACTTCTCAACATCCACGGAAACTCCTCACTTCTGGGTCTTTCCCACAAATTCTCCTCTACACTCTTCCCTTCCACAGCACCTTCACTGTCTCCTCAAATAAGTATCCTTAAAAATATCTCCTCAAACAATATCTTCCCACAATATCTTCTAACAATATCCTCTAACAATATTCTCTCAGCAAACACGGTTACACACGGGGCAGCTGTAAAACGAGTGATGGCTTCCCCATCCTCGTTATTCT